GGGGCGCACCGGAGCGGGTGCGGAGCAGCGGGGCCCAGGCCGGCGCCTCTGAAAGAGCCGCGGAGAGAGCAACTGTCCCAAACACTGCTTGCTCTTAGCTCCAGGGCTGAGAGCAACAGAAGCAGGTGACTTCAGATGGGAGCAAGACAGCTTGACTGTCAAGCAGGGGACACCCTGCCACGGATCGGGGACATCAATCACTGCCGAGGGAGCTGGGCGTATCTGGGATCTGTTCCCACTCTGTTGCTGCTGTGCTGCCTGTCACGGGAGGGGGAACAACTTGTTTCCCTGCTCTGTGCCTCCGTTTCACCTTTCTCTTTGGGAATGGCTTTGAGATCTGCTGATAAAGTGCTCGATAAGAACTGGAGAGGCAAAAACTGCGCAAACCTCAAGGTCTAGTCCAAGGGTTGTTGTGAGCAGCATTTAATTCTCTGGTAGAGGTGGTATCCAGGCTGCCTGTGGTCAAAGCAAGGTTGTTTTCAGCTGACTTTCACAAGAAGGAGCGTTGACACAGCGTGGTCTCGCCTTTCCTTTCTAAATATAGAGGAAGAATGGCATCTAGGGTTACACAGGTGCGGTTGGGTTACCATGGCACACGGAGCTGGGCAGTTGGCCTTAACTCTGCCCTAAGTCCCTTTAGTGTTTCTTATTGACTGGCTCCTGCCAGCATCCCACTCAGCTCCTAGCTGGGTGCTCCGGATGGATCCTTAGAGGCACCGAGTCAGGGAAAACAGCATAAGGCCTGGGCAAACCTCGTGGCCTCCAGACAGAGAAAGGAAGAGTCACTTCCCATCCCATGCCTGGCAGCAGCAGCCAAAGCCACCCCTCTCCAGGTCAACTTGGCCTTGGTTATAACCCAGGCCCCAGCTCACCTCATGGCTGCGGGAGCATTTCTGAATCTTTCACTTCCCCTTTGCTGCAGCTGGTGGTTTCCCAACCACGGGAGCGTCCCCAGGGCAAGACTGTGCTGTCAGCCAGGCTTTTTGCAGCCTGGAGCTTGAGGGTGGCTGAGTGCTCGGGCCTGCAGGCGCAGGGCGGTGTGGCCAGACCCAAGGCTTGCTGCTCGCCGGCTGCATGTGAGGGAGGCACGGGGTTGCTGTGTGTCCGCTCTGGTAGATAACTTGCTTAGAACTGGGGATGGACTTCCCTGACTGCTTCTTCTGTCCCCACTGAGGCAGGGACAGCTGCAAGGTGCCCAACTGCATGCCCAGTTGTGCCAGGCCTTCTGCCTACGGTTTCTAACCACCCCTTCTATTGCCCAATCTGTTGTACAGCTGAATTACGGGATATTTCTCACAGATGCATTGTTTTTATATATCACGTTCATGGTTTTCTACCAAGGATGTTTCTGAGCAGCAACAGAGCGGCCGATCTGCCATGAGCAGGTCTTACCAGGCCTGTAACACTGAGGTCCCAGAGAGGACAGGGGTTGGAGAAGACAAAGCCTTGCGTCTCTGGGGCCTTTCAGGAGTGCGAGATGGGAGGGTGCCAGGCGCTCTGCAGAGGGCCCCAGGATGGTGACTGCTGGGCATCTAGCTCGGCCTCACGCAAAGGCAGACGGCTGTAACGCGTGCCGGTCTCTTGTTCCCAGGCTAACCACAAGTTGTACAAGCAGAAACTCGAGGAGCTGACCAAGCTCCAGGATGGCATCTCCAGCTCCATCGCACGGCAGAAGAAGAGGCTGAAGGAGCTGTCTCTGTCCCTAAAAAAGTAAGCTGGTGCCCTGTGACAGCCCCTAGAGCCCCCTAGGCAGGGGTAGATCAGGAGAGGGGAGCAGCAAGGACAGAGCTTGTCTAACAGCCCTTGCTCCAGTACACCTTACTGCAGCCTCACTGATAGCAAGGTCCTCTTAAGGTCTGGACTTAACCCAGGCAGATCTTCCTTGGGCTTTCCTTTCCTTTGCCCTGATTTGTGCCTTGCTTCCTGCTCACGGCTTGCAAGGCCTCTGCAGGTTGCTTGAATCAAATCCTCTCCTGCCCAAAGCTCTCTTCATCCCTGCTCCAGGGTGAGAGGACCTGGTTGTCTCCCTTCACTTTCATTTCCCAGACTGACAAATAGGAGCTAGTCCTGCAGATGGAGTTGCAGACTTGTCCCCAGCTCGTCTTTCCTGACCTTGTGTTGTCCTTGTCTGAGACATGGTCGCATACCAAGTGCCAGCATGTGTTGCTGTCGCTGTCCTGCCACCGGTGCCTATGTTTCCTCCCCAGATGCAAGGCCCACGTGAGTCCTGAACAGGAGGAGTCCATCCAAGAGACCCAGAGCCTGATAAAAGAGAGGCAGAATGTCTTCTTTGAGATGGAGGCCTACCTGCCGAAGAAGAATGGGTAAGAGGTGCCTCGTGTCTGGGTGGTGATGGCCTCTTTGCCAGAGGGAGTAGGACTGCTAGAGTCCTGTGATGCCAAGGTGCCCCCATGGCTGGCCCTGTCAGAGTAGCTCCTGGGGAAACGGACAGCTGGAAGTTAGCTGCAGGCCTTGAGAGTCTTCCGCAGGGCCAGATCCCTCCCCTCACCATTGGAGAAAGCTTTCTCTTAGGAAGGTGAAAGCTTTGGTGATGTGAAGGACAAAGTCCCTGGGAGAAGGTGGCTGCTGAAACACCAGTCCCTCCTTCCACATGCCTGCAGCTGCGATGCTGCAAGGCACAAACCTGCTTGTGATCCTGCTCTCAGCTGGTGTCACAGCTGCGTTGTGCTCAGCACAGGCTCCCTGGGAGGGCGCCTGGGTAGGGACCAGGCTGATCCTATGCAGAGCTGCTTTCGTCTCCCCCTCTTTCGTACCTGCCTGCAGTCATGCCTGGCACTCTCAGCCTTCAGCCACCCTTGAACCGTGGCCGTGCTCAGAGGGAGCCCCAGTGAACGCTCCCATGCCTGCAGGAGGTGGGGACTGTGCCCTTCCTGCATGCCCTTGGGACAAAATGCCAGGACATTTGTGCCAGTCACACTGCCTGGCAGCTCCGAGTGGAAAACAGCTGGGTGCTCATTCCCCCGGTGTCACTGCAGAGCATCAACAGTGCCGGGCTCGCCATCACCAGCGCATGAGCTGTGGGAAATATGTGACAGCTCAGTCTTGCCTTCACAGCAGACTGCCAGGCACCCAGCCAGCTCCTGGGGAGATGCCTGTCCTAATGCCTCTGCTCTCTCTCCAGGTTGTACTTGAGTCTGGTGCTTGGGAACGTGAACGTCACACTACTCAGCAAGCAAGCTAAGTACGGCCCTCTCGTCACTGCTGTCATGTGCTCTGAGGTGGTTTGGGATCCCCTTGTCACCAAGAAACAGTAACTCTTCCCAGGCTGAGCTGCAACGCATGATTACAGCATGCACGGATGTGTGGCTGCTTGATGTACCTTGTGCAGATCCCTTTCCAGAGCTGTCCAGTTCTTCCTGGAATCAACCCAGTCCTCAATTCCCTCTTATATTCCTGTGACCTGGCTGGGATCGTTAGCTCTAACAAGTCAAAGAGGATCCTCCAGCAAAGTCATGGCCTTCCTGTGAAAAGTTGAGCAGATGCCCTCTCTGTCCTTTCAGCCACCCACCAAGGTGGCATGGCTGTGGGGTTACTTGAAGGTGTCTCACCTGCAGAAAAGCAGAGTAGTTTGCTCTCCTCTCAGAGTGGAGTGCCCAGGGGATGAGGGTTTTCCTGAGCTTGTCCCAGAGCCAGGACTCTGCAGACCTCTGTCCGGCCTGGTGGGATGGGAGGATGTAGACCTCCAGCCTTGCGCCCAGCCTGTCCTTGTGCTTCCCTGCAGGTTTGCATATAAAGATGAGTATGAGAAGTTCAAGCTCTACCTCACCATTATCCTGCTCATTGTGTCCTTCTCCTGTCGGTTCCTCCTCAACTCCAGGTGAGTCTGGCTCGAGCTGGCTTGGATGCTCTCCCAAAGTGCCAGGCAGAGATCTCCTCCCAGGGCCTCCATGTTCTCATCTCCGGTCCTGGACTGCCCACAACAACGCTAGTGCTTCAAAGCCAGAGCTGGATGGGAGATCCTGACAAAGTAACTGGCTAATCAGGTCTCGCCAGCTCGGCCATTGCCCCTGGGGGTGCAGAGGGCTTTGTGGCTACTGTGGTCTAAGCGGGGTGGTGGTAGATGGTGTGAGAAGCAGCTCTGCATGCGCAGGACTGTTCAGGGTACCCCACTGGGTGGGTGAGTGTCCTCAAGCAATTGCTGACTTGGAGCTTGTGCCCAGCAACCCTATGAGCCATGGCTCCGCTGCCTCCTTTTCACCCTCGCTTTGCTTCACACCAGGGTGACAGATGCTGTCTTTAACTTCCTCCTGGTGTGGTACTACTGCACCCTTACCATTCGGGAAAGCATCTTGATCAACAACGGATCCAAGTGAGTCCTTCAGGTGCTCAGGGAGGGGGTGCGTGCAGTGCGTTAGTCCTTCTCTGCAAGGCTGGGGGAGTTCAAACGCACTGCGTAGACCTGTGCTTACCAAGGGAGCGGCTGCAAGAACCTCCTACTCAGGGTGTGTAGGAAACCCTGGTTAATTAGCTGTACAGTTTGGCCTGGCCCTTATGAGGTGACTGCTGGGGCAGGAGGGCTGGATGAACTCCACACCTGGAGGTGGCTGGGAGGAGGAGCAGCAGCAGTTGAAATGGCCCCAGCCCCTGGGTACCACCAGGACCAGAGGCCTGCCCCATGCACAGCCATTTTGTAGCCACCTCTGCTCCTGCTCTAGAAGCTTGAGGGCAGCCAACAGCTTGCCTAGCTCCACTTGCTCGATGTGTGTTTGGATCTTGATTCATGACCCCTTGCCTGTGTCTGCCTTCCAGAATCAAAGGCTGGTGGGTTTTCCATCACTACGTCTCCACTTTCCTCTCAGGTGTCATGCTGACTTGGTAAGTCTCTGTGCCCTTGTCTCCTCCCCAGACATCCTTGGCAGGCCCTGCTTTTCTCACCTGCTTTGCGGTATGGAGATAGCTCTTGGTTGTAGTGACTCCAGCCTGCACAGGCTGCAGCCAGCTCAGATGAAAAGGCCTTGCTCTAGGTGCCCTAATCCATAGCCATATTCCTGCTCTCTCACCCTTCTGGTGTAACAGTCTACTCCATGTGTTCCTCATAGGCCCAAGCACCCCAAACAAAAGCAGCCATCAACACCTTTGTAAGGCAGGCAGCACATTTGGGGCTCTTGGTCAGGGAATACAGTCCCCTGTACTGACGTGCCTGTCCAAGGACTACTGTGATGTTTTCCTGACCACTATGCTGGAAGGCCCCTGATTTTTGGCTTCCTAAACCATGCCCGAGATTGGACATTGTCCCTCTGACTTGCTGCAAGTACCTCTTGAGGAGGTGCTCCGTAACCACAGTGAATCGGATGAATTGCAATGTGGTGCTTGACTCCAGGGAGTCCCTCTGTTTTGGTGGGAGTTGGGGTGGGGCAGCGGTGCTACCACCCCAGCTGTGGGGCAGACAGGGCTGGCTGCACCTCTTGACTCATCCTCACATCCCTCAACCAGCATCATTTCTCCTCAGGCCAGACGGGCTCATGTACCAGATGTTCAGGAACCAGTTCCTCTCCTTCTCCATGTATCAGAGTAAGTGCTGTCAGGTGTGCTGGGACAGTGGGGTGGGAGCTGTCCACAGCCAGCCTTTAGTGCCAGGCTTGCCTGCCTGGCTCTGGCATCACGTGAAGAACTGGCTGTAATTGCTCACAGCTCTCTGCTCGTTTGGGTTTTCCCTTAGCCTTTTTCCTGCTCTCCACGGGGCTAGGACCATATTTGTGCCCAGTCACCCCAGAGCTGGGCTGATGTTGGGGCTGAGAGCTGTGGGCCTGCGTCTTGGCTCCTCCTGAGCTCAGCTGCTCTCTCCCTGCAGGTTTTGTGCAGTTCCTCCAGTACTACTATCAGAGCGGGTGCTTGTATCGGCTTCGAGCGCTGGGTGAGAGGCACAATATGGATCTCACTGTAGGTAAGCTGGGATCTTCCTTTACTAGTTGTCCCAGTCCAAACTAGACCTGCCTTCACCTCTGCTTCAGGGCCTATGGCTACTGATGGCCTGCCTCCCAGCACCAGACATGGCATAAAGTTAAATGGGAGCTGTGTCTTGGTGATGGAGGTTCATGGCCATCCTCTTCCCTCTCCCCTGGGGCTGCAGGCGCATGGCTGGCTACCTCAGGACTCAAGGTACCAGGAGGTGTCCTGCTGACATCTGAGCTTCCCCCAGGGAGCTGCTTTACAGATAGGAAAACTCCCTCTGATGCCCCAGATGCTTTCTGTGGGCTGTCGCCCTTCCTCCCCGCCCCCCCCC